AAGAAAAAAAAAAAGTACCAAAGCAATCCACACATTAAGCAAAAAACAATATAAACGTGGGCATCATTTTGACTAGGAGAGGCAGAAGTGACTGAATGGTTAGAGAAAGTTCTTGCCAGGTCCCTGTCTCAGCATCTTGCTTTGGCTCCTGCTTTTCATCTTAGAAGCTGAGATGGAAATAAACCCATAACCACTCTGAAGGAGGGGCTGTGTGCTACCAGCACTAAGAAACCAAGGGTCTCATCACTTTATTAAAGGTAGAGCTATCTGTTGCCTAAATTACACCTGAATTTCCAACCAGGGAAGGGCTGCCTTAATTAGAAAGCTCAAAAGAATGACAGGCAGAGGAAAAAAAAAACATGGTACTGTGATACAACCCTGAAGAGACTAGTGCTGCCCTTTCTGTGCGGTGCTGCTATCTTGGTCTAACTGCACAAAATGAGTTTTGGGCCTTCACTTTTAACTTTTGATTAAAAAACAACAAAACAAAAGAACCAACTTTCTTTTACCATGGGGGAGCTGAGGCCAGTGCCAGCTGCACTGCCAGCACAAGAGCAGGGAAATGAAAGATAAGGATTCATGGAAGGATTAAAAGCCTCTTACACTGTGTTACTTCCATCCCCCTGGTGAAAATCATGCCTGCTTATTTATGCGAGTATGTGCTCATTGGCACGCAATCCCTGCATTAGTTTGCAAAGGGTTGGTGTGTTTGCACACCCATGCATGTTCCCACACGTACACTTAAAGATGCAGGTTGCAATTTTTTTTACATTGGAGCAGGCAAACCCTAGGGAAAGCTGTGTGGCAGCGGGTCCTACACCTCATCCAGGCAGCCTGAAGCCTGATCTAGGTCTTATCAGTGCTAAAATGGCCCAAACCTGCTGCTCTTCTGGATGGCAAAGAGAATCCTCTCCTGTCTCATCTTTCCCTGATTAAGAAAAATCCCTTTATGGTTGCTTAGGCTGGGATTCTGGCCAGGTTAGTTTAACTACGTGAAACAAAATGCCACGCTGTGTAAAAGCACCCCACTCCCTCTCTTCTGGATACTAAAATGCCAGCACGTCTGTGATGCTTCACTTCATGACTACATACAAGATCCCCCCCAACCGTCCCTAAAATGTCCCTAAAAAGTATCAGGGAATCACCTAGGAAAAAAAATAATAAACCAGCTTTTATTGCTAGGGTATTGAAACCGCTTTTTCACAGAGTAGTTAAGGAAGTAACAAATTGGCCCTTCCTTCATTTGGCCTTAATTGGGCTGGTAAGTGCTATTACACAGCTAGTCCTCGTGCAGGTACAATTATCCTTTCCAAACCATTTCAATTGATTGGCCTCAGGGCTGTAAGCACTGACATTACCTTTCTTTTTATGCTAAAATGAATCCTGAGTCATTGCAATTACTATCAGAGCAGGAAAAATCAACTTTCAGAAGTTGCACAAATGTTCAGCAGCTCCCAACAAAATTCCTTGTACCGGGATTTATCTGGTTAAAATTTTATACACGCCAGGCAGCCCGACAGGACTCACATCTCATTTTCATGCCGATCCCTGTTCCCCAAGGGGTAACACTCTTACAGTCCTCCTCCAGCACAAATCAAGTGCCACAGAAACAATTAGTGATACTTCATATTATCTAAATGAAAGGCTGGATGGGAATGTATTTGTAATTTTCTGGAGAGGCTTTTACATATGGCTCAACAGTATTAGTTGTGTTTGAAATAAATGTCCTCATAAGGCCTGCAATGAGGAATCTCAGCATTTTTGCTTGTGTTGTTTCACTCAGAAGAGCTAAGTGGAGGAACCATACAGCGTGTGTGGCTCTGCTGTAGCCATTGCAGAAATGTCTAGCACTGTTTCCCCAGTCTTAGCATGGGTCTGTTGAGTTCTCCTTTTTTCTTCCTGTCTTGTGCTCTTTTCAGTTGTTGGAAATCTGCTAGCTTTGTCTCAATTCTGCTGAAGGACTTCAGTGAAATCTCGAGTACAGAAAGTTACTGTTCCCTCTCTTAAGTCTCTAAATAAATTTTGCATTTTAGAGATCTAGGAGATAAATTACGTAGCGTTTACTATTTTAACTGGATTTTTTTTTTTTAACACAGCCTTTTAACACAAGTTTTGGAAAAAAAAGGACTATACTCAATTTAAAAACAACTTATAGGTAAGAGTTGTCTGGTAGTTTTCTGTTTAGTTGAGTAACTTCCTCTGGATTGTGATTCTATTTTATTTTTTATTTTTTCCAACGATTTAGATAATAAGCAGAAGTAGTTATTATTTATTAACAAAGATTAAATACCTAATAGCATCCACAAACTGGTAAGTCAGCGGGACAAGGGAGGGTTAGTTAGTATGAGTTAGTACACTCAGTGGATCTAGACAAGTTACTAGCGAACACCATTTGGAAGACCCTTGATGCTAATGAGGTGTTAACTGGTCTTTTAAGTTCATGTGAACTCCTGGGATTCCCGCTGGTCAAACAAGCATAAGTGGCATTAAATCCAATTTATGACTTGCAGAAGGCTGATGGAGTGTATTGTTTCTGCCAAGATTTTAGCCTGACACTTAATAAGCAGATGTGAGCTACATTGAAACTTAAATGACAAAACTGTCACTTCAGCTAATATTTATTTATTTTGCTTAGATGTAAAAGCTAAATATTTGATTTTTTTTTTTCACTTAAAAGGAATGCTATACATTTTATCTGTCAACTATTCAAACGTGATGATTAAAAATGATACTAGGGAGACTTTAGCAGAAAAAGGTTTCCACCAGAATATACAAAAAAAAATCTTTTATGTTTACAGGTAATCTGCTTTTAATTATTTGTATTGGATTTCATATTTGGCTATTGGATCTATCTTTGATGTTAGCCCTGTTTTGAAGAGAGGATTGGACCAAATTATCTCCAAGACATCCCTTCCAACCTGAATAACTCTATGATTCTGTAACTCAGGATAAAATAAACTACATAGAATAATACATAGTCTGAAGAGATTTGTAAGTTTTAACGTTTCAATGTTCTTTGCAACACACACCCTCTCACTAAAAGTTGAACAAAAGCTTCAACTCTATGAGACAAAGACTCAAAGCATCAAAAAAGACACTGGTATTGCAACTGCTTGTGTGAATAATTTCATAAACATACAAAATTTCATTCAGTTCAATATGACCACTCACATGTAGTGATACACTAATATGAAAGGACACATCCACACAGGCCTTCTGGTCTTCATCAGAAATGCAAACTGCAGTCTTTTCATGAAGAGATGGGGCTAGTAACCAAAATCTCAGCTGCAAAATCAGCATTAACCATCTCTTTAAATCACAGAAGTTTCTCTCATTTCCTTTAAAAAATTATATGCATATGTACTCGTTAAAATTCAAGAGCAACCATGTATAAATGACTAGTGGGATTTTTATTTTTATTTTTTAAACTAGCTCTCTATTTAGGGGAAAACACCACATTATCCAATTGCTCAACTGTTCACCAGATTTTCATATAGAGAGACATTTTGTGTTGGTATCTGATAAAAAGATACTATAATTGCCTGTGCTGTATTTGTTGCTTGAGTGCTTTGAAATCTTAATTATAAGTGATACCGCTTGTGGAGAAGTGCAGAATACAATTTTTAGCCCCATCCTTACACACTCAAAACATCCATTGAGTTTAACAGGAATTTAGGTAAGTCAGGAATGCAGAAATAGCTCCAATACCCTCTATGCACACTTAAATAATGTGATTGGAGAAAAAAATAATGCCAAAAAGAAATATTCAAAGAAAACAACAACAACAAAACACACTCAATTTTCAGCTGATTTGAAATAAAGTGGAGACTCAGTGGGCTGGAAGAATGAAATTTGCTCCACAGAGCAATTTGTAGAAAAGTATTCATTTTTGGCTTAGGAGTGGAGAATTCTAGATGAAGAAAATAAGAAAAGTAGGCAAATACAGTGTCTAAGAAATAAAGACATTAAACATCAAGAGACATCCATAAAAACTTCCATCTTGGTTCTTTATTTCTTGACAGCTGGGACAAACACAGGCCTTAGGTTGGACTAAGGGCTCTTCTCCTGCTACAGCTCATCTGCTTTCATGACGGGAGCTGACAATCACAAAAATTAATGCTGTGCTAATTGTCTGATGGATTTTATTTATAATGCACCTTACTATAGTGGAGGCTGGGCAGTTCTTAAGGGAATTGTGTCTACTGAAAATAAACTTTCTACCTGTCACCACAGGAGGTTCCTTCTCGGCCTGGACTCCAAAATCTGCTATATATTTGCTCAGGCAGCTGAAATAAATGGTTAAGAACTGTCACACTAGAGGGCTTCAATAGTACAAAGGGATGGAAAACTGGGGATCTCAGCAAAAATTGAACGATACCTGGCTTTGTTCAGTGACTATACGTGACTGCTGAACATAAAGATCTGTGCTTCCTTCCTTCCCTGTAAGAGGACCTTCAGCAAAGCCTCAGGACATGTAGAAAGCCTAGGTGGCCAATCCTTAGCAACCACATTCCAGCTTCACCCCTTCATTTGTCAAAGAACCTGTTTTTCACATAATTTGCCAGATGCATCATTTAAGATGTGCTCCTTAGGCCAGAAGTTACAAAGTGTTCGCAACTGGACATTTCCTTGTGGTGGGTCATAGCCAGACCCCACTTCCCACTGTTGTAGAGCTCACTGCTCCCTTCCACAGGCCTGTCAGCAGCCCTCCTGTAGCAGTAAGTACTTTGACACTTCAGATTGCCAAAAACTGCAGGAGATGAGCCCAAGGCACGCCTCACGAGCTCAGAAAGCTGAAGGACAGGCTTGGGACCACCACACTGTCAAACCCAGGGACGCAGCTGAGAGTGGGTGCAGGCAGGGCCACACACACAGGCCTCAAAACAGTATGGGGAGGACAAAACCAGGGGAAGAAGGGCTGATGAGGGGCTGAGGAGCCCCTGAGGAGCTCCCCGGGCCATGGCCGCCCCCCCACAGAGCCCCGGCCGCGCGGCGGCACCGCCACAAAATGGCGGCCGCGGGATCTTGAGGGGTGGGGGGAGGAGCGAGGGGCGCCGCCGCCTGAGGGAACGGGAACGGGACGGGGACGGAAACGGGCGCGGGGCGGTGCTGGGCAGAGCCTGTCCCGTCCTGTCATGTCCTGTCCCGTCTCCTCTCCTCCCGTCTTCCTCCCGCCCCGGTCCGGCATCGGCGGCGTCTCCTCCTTCTCCTCCTCCGCCTGCTGGGGTGGTGAGTAGGGAGCCCGGCTGAGGAGGTGTTTCCTGCAGCGGATCCTCAGCACGTTTCCCCCTCCTCCCCGACCGCCTCAGAGTGCCACGTTCCCTCTTCCCCCCGCGCCTCCTCACGTCTGCACATGTCGCGATAGTCGCGATAGGAGGGGGGGAGCCGCTCACTGAGGGGAGCGGGGCTGGGGCCGGGAGCTGGGGCCTGCCCGGCCGGGAGCCGCTGAGGGGCCGCTGCGGTTGTAGGCCGGGTGAGCCCTGTGCTGAGGAGAAAAATGTTAACGAAATGCTCAATAAGCTCAATAAATCCCGGTTTTCCTCAAGGTGTGCGAACAGCACCTGTGGCAAGGAGCCCAGGGTGGAAAGGGGATTTTTTTTTCCATGAGGAGCACCTGCAGTCGTTCTGGTCTCCTTGTAATTAAATAGCAAGAATACGCAAGGATACTTTTTTGCTCTCAGTAATAAAATACAAGGTGCTGGGCTTGTTACAGTTGAAGGCAGGGTCATATGTTAGATCTGCAACAGGGTGCATTGTAACTGTGACTCTGCCTGGGCAAAGAAACAGGAGATACTTGCTCAGAAGAAATAAAGTAACATTTCAAGGTTTCCTGTTGGGGTGACTTCCTTAATACCTTTTTTCTTTGTTTCAGATTAACCAACCAAAGAGGTTATGAATATCATCTGTGGTCTGAAGTTGCCGGGCAGGAGCTGTATTTTCTTTCGTTTGGCTTCCTTGACCAAGCAGGGGAAGTACAATAAGCTCTACGGGCCTTACACAGAACGTTGCCAAATTCAAGTCAGTTCTATACGAGATAGATGCCGAAGGCTGGATTCGAGTGGAAATAATAGAAACTGTTTTTTGACTGGAAGCTTGACTGACTATTGTAGAAACTTTCTTGGTAAAGGACAAAGGTGTCTTTTGAACGTCCCAAAAACAGAAGTATGGAAGAATGCACCTCATGGTTCAGGAAGGTTTTGCTTTCAGTCTTCTCCGTTGCAGGGGGAGAAGGTTACGTCCTTCCAAATCAGTTCTGCAGGGCTACGCCCAAGTCATTTCTCTGCTCAGAACATCCAGATTGCCAGTTTTTTTCACACATCATCATCACTTCAAGCTGCACCTGTACCTCTTTTCTGGATTATTGTTAAGCCAGCTCAGAAACTATTTGCTATCATTCTTGGCAGGTAAAATTCTATTTTGCTTACTCTCAGAGTAAGACTCTGTTGTGCAAAGACATGCATATGTTCATCACTCTTTGTAGAGAATGATAGGTGTATTTGTAGTCTCTTCATTTTAATATTTTTGAAAGTTTTGCAGAACTGGGTCCTAGGCTGACAGTTTGCTCAATAAGAAATTGTTTTCCATTATCAGAGGTGTTAGATGTGTCTTTTGACCTTCAAAGTCTCACCTATACAGGTAGAGAGAGGGTAGAATGCCCCAAGACACTAAGGGTGTTCCCCCCTTCTCTTCCTGTGGGAGGAAAGAAAGGGAAAGGGAGAGGGTGAGTAGTAGTCAAGTAGATTATAACTTTTCTTAAACTCTCACAAGGTGAGAATGTAATAGTAGAGCAATGGCAGATGCTAACAACCCCCTTTTTAACTGTGTCCTAAGCTGACAGTTGTTTGTGTTTTACAGGAGCATAAGAAATTGGTGGAAGGCACTTCCTCCTAATAAACGGGAACTTTTTAAGGAAAGTGCAAGGAGAAATAAATGGAAGATACTCCTGGGTATCAGTAGCTTAGGAGTTTTGTTTGTCATGTTTTATTTTACTCACTTGGAGGAGACACCCATCACCGGGCGTGCCCGACTGTTGGTGTTTGGAAAAGAGCATTTTAGGCAGCTGTCACAGATGGAGTATGATATGGTAAGATTTTAAAGAAAAGTACTTAAGGCTATAGCTTAAAGTATAGCTTAAGTAAAGGCTACAGCTCTGTTCTCTCACACACTTCTTGACAAGCAGATTCCCTTTTACCTCTTAACAGGAATGAAAATTATGCAGTACTTTGTTGTACTTCGTGCTCAGAACCCTTCAGAGCATCCCCCTAAGTTTCCCCCTAGTCTTATCCCTATCCTTTTTAAGAGTTACCTTCCTATCAGCAAACCATTCAGGGATGTGTGATGGTTGAAGAACACATCACATGTATGTGGCAAACATTTCTGAAGGTGTTATTGTAATACAGTAAATACAAAAGTCTGACAGAGGCAATAAAAGTATAATAGGTACATACCTAGATCTGTCCCGCTTTCTTTGCTGGTTTGAGTGTTCCATGGCACTTATTTAAGGTTATTTTTTGTAAGCTGTCAATTTGTAAGGTATTACTCCCCACCATTGAGAATACACTCAATTCTCCTTTTTTTTTTTTTCTTCCATTTGATCAGTTCCTTCTTCTTTAATTGCTTTCTTTTAGATTGCCCATTGTTCTGATTTCTGTGGCTTTGAGTTCTATGACTTGCTATTCTCATGTCTCGAAATGAACTCGAGACATTCAGCCATATACAAATGTCACTGTATTCCTGAATTATAGAGAATGTGAAAGAACGTAGCAGAAGTAGTACAAGGACATATTCTGTTACACTTTTGGTATAAGTTTGTCCAACTTAGAAGGTACAAAAGAAATACAGAGATATAAAGAAATTATAAATTCAAATGGAAATTCAGAAAGATATAGAAAGCTGTGCGAAATTGTGATGCCAAGCTTAACTGTGTATATCAGGAAAATACCAGCTATATGAGGCTGTAGGAGGCAAGTTTATACTATCTTATTTTTGATCTGTGGTTAGTTTACTTCCTTTTAAGTTGACAAATCCTTACATAGTGAGTCTGAAAGAACAAACTCTGCTATATTGGGTTGGGCTATATGAAAGAAAAAATGTATAAAAAAAAAAAAAGAGCTTTAAAGAAGTAGTTCATAGCCTCTAAATTAGTTTACCAAGTAATCATTTACTGTGTGTTTGTTCTGCGTGGCAATCAATTAATTCTTTTTTCAGTGGATGGAGGAATTCAAAAATAAAATGCTGCCTGAGACAGATGCGCGCTATCAGGTAGTGAAGAGCGTTGTTGGACATTTATCTGAGAGCAACAAGGATGTCCCACAGGTCTCAGCGCTTGACTGGATTATCCACGTGGTAGATGAACCAGGAGTAAATGCTTTTGTGCTTCCGGTAAGTTGAACCCAAATAGAAAAATTATTAGTAATATTGATAGAGTGTTTCATTTATTTACCTTCTACTTAATTTTCACCCCATCTTGTTCACAGAACGGTCAAGTATTTGTTTTCACTGGGTTGCTAAACGCAGTTTCTGATATCCATCAGCTGTCTTTCATTCTGGGACATGAAATAGCTCATGCTGTGCTGCAACACGCAGTAAGTATTTAAGAATTTTAGACAGCTTTCTTTAAATAATTATAATTAATTATAATCAAGATCTTTTCAGTCACTGCCCACCAAAATTTCACTGTGACTCTTTCTAATTAACAAAAATTTGACTTTGAAATGAGAGTATTCTGATACAGTTCATTCTTATATTCTTACAACTTAACTTCTAAGTTATAAGTTAAATTATAAGAAATAAGTTATTACTACATGAATAATAGAACTCCATATAAGAACTGCCAGCAGTCTCCTTTAGTAGTCAGTGTTAGCACAGTGTCTGCCAGTGGTTTTTTTATTTTTTTATAAGTGCACGGATGGATTATGGCTCATTATTAACAGTCATTTAGAACTTGGTCTGTAGATGTCTCTCCTCCTATAGTGTAGACTTAAAGAACTGGAGGCACTCAGCAACTCAGTTTGTTACTTCTAGATTTGTTATATCTACGTAAGTAGATATACTTCAATACCTTATTCTGAAATGCATGGTGTTTTATTTTAGTGGCACGGTTTTGGAATGCACAACTCCAGAATGCCTGGAGCTTGATTCTGCATTTAGAGATGATTGCCTTCACAAACTTATTTTTTTTTTATGTACTTCATGTGTTGAAATTGGTAGTTCTTTGCCATTTAAGCACTGAAGAATGGATGTAATCATTCTGTTGTGCTTTGAAGGTACAACTATGAAAAAGAGTATGGTATAGAAATAGGGTTCATACTGTTCTGGATTGAGGTGATTTGCTTGAAAGTGCTGCTTTGCATACAAAATGTCTTCTCTCTGTACATGTAGTTTAAAAATAAAATGCATCCATTACCTATCCACCAGCTGAGAAGACATAACAAGGACCTTTTAAGCATAAACATCCTGATGAAATTACAAAATAATCTGGAAACAGGTAAATATGTTTTGAAGGCAGTGAAAATCCAGAACAGTTTTACTGCAATTTGTAGGATTTTGGATGAGCAACAATGTTCGCATTGTAGTTACTTGCAGTTCAGCTAAGCCAAATTAGACTTGCTGAATTTATTAGAAATGTTTTTCAGAATAAAAACAGCTTACCTTGTTTGTATGGAACCTGTCACCCACCTGGCATGGAGAAGTGTGGCATGATCTGACTTCTCAGTGCTCAGATCAATTTGTTCTGCGTCAGAGAGAAGTCTGAAAAACAGAATTATTTCAATTTCATTCTTCAGGATTTTTTAGTTTCTGAAATTAAAAGAACACAATAGACAAAAAAAAAAAAAAAGTAGAGCTGCTTACTTTCCCCTTGTTCCATTAGTGTTTCTGTCTAACTGACGTCTGTCTTCTCTCAAGTTAATGTAAACAACAGTCTTCTAGGTCTTTCTGGGTTTTTCCTTCCAACTGTTTCATGGCCTTCTTACTAAAGAACTCTATCTGCATACTGCCATCAGCTTTGAATCTTTCCAATTGGGAGACAGGCAAAATATGTTTGTTCCAGCTGTATTTAGGTAGTTGGTGTGGATTCTATATTGAAAGAACCTTGTATCCAGCTGGTTTGGGGTTTTTGTGTTGTTTTTTCCTGTTTTGTTTTGGTTCAAGCAAAGGAGCTTGTTCCTGTGGCTGCACAGAATAAAAATTAGTGATTTTATAGTGTTTTGAAAGTATATTGTGTTCTTCAAAAGCAAAAAACAGGCGGTAATGAATGAAAACTGAACCATTTTTGTTACCAGGCAGAGAAAGCCAGTCTGGTTCACTTCTTGGATTTCCTATCACTCATCTTTCTCACTATGATTTGGGCCATCTGTCCTCGTGATAGTTTGGCGGTTGTTGGCCAGTGGATTCAGAGTAAGTTGCAGGAGGTAAGGCTGACTATGGAATACTTCACACAACTTATTTGAATACATCTGTTTCTGACATTCATTGCAAACGTGTTGAAATATTTCTTATACTCCTTCTAGAGTTCATGGAAAAACATTTATAGGCTTGGGGAGATAGTACCACTGAACAGTATGTTTGGGGAAAAAAGCAGAGGAGAGATTATAAGCAAAAATAAATATATCAGTATGTTTTTGAAGGAAATATGTTTTTATAAATATACATCTGCTTTAGTTGATATATATTCTCATTTGTCATCTTGAAAAACTTTAGATCTTAAATAATGATTGGATTTAGTTGGATGGGCCCTTAGTACTTGCTTGCCAATTAAGTTAAATGATTGCCTGTTTGAAATGTATCTCACGTTTTAAAGTTTTAAAATGCCATGTTTTTATCTTGAGTAGTTGCTAAAATGTTTCTAAACAAACTAAAATATATGGAAAGAGTATCTTTAAATACATTTTTGTGGATTTCAAGATAAGGAAGTTGTGAGTCTAAATGTTCTTTTAAAGTAGAAACTCTGCTATAATAAAACTTACTGAAATAATCTTTACACACAGCGTACTTCCCATAAAGTAAAATTCAGTAGTTATTGTGGTGCTGTTTTTTCCCTGCTGTCTAGTTTACTGCCTGCTTCTGGACACTTATCCATTTTTTCTCTTTTTTTTTTTTTTATATAAAATATTCTTTAATTCATAAAACTTGAATCTGGAATGCAGTGAAATAGCTCTGGTTTCTTTGACTTCCCTTGATGATTTATCTGATATTTCACCTGGTTCTTCAGAAATTTAAATATAACCAATCTGTTTTGGTAGTTATGCTAATGGGTAGATGCATGGATTGTGAGCATAAATTACCTCTAATGAGCTTGGATATTTCTACCAGCAGCTAAGAAACCAATACGTTGCTGAATGCTAGTCAGCATTTTGAAGAGCTGAATTCGGAAAAAGCAAAGTGTGAATCAATCCTGACACTGCTCATAATTTAGACAGCAAGATTTAGTTCCCTGTCAGCATATTTTCTCCTGGGCTACTGCAGCTGATGTTCTGGCATTGTAGGCTGGAGTTGGGCTTTGGATTCCAAATGGAATTTGGCTTTAAGTCCTTGGCTTAAGGTCCTACTACTTGGTCTACAGGGAAGATCTATCGTTTCTGAGATGCTGTATGTAATGTCTTGGTTTAAAACAGTGGTTAGACTTACCTTAAATAAAACTAAATGTATCCATATATAATGCTGAACAAATAAGTAATTAATATCAACAAAAATGTATTCCATATACAAAAGATGCTGAATAGGAATTTTTGTTTGCTACTCACCTGTGAGTGCAACGTCTGTTTGCTTCCTCCATTCCACATTTTTCTATTGTGCTTACATGGAAAAAAATCTTTCTACTCATTTTGTCAGGATGCTTCATTTTCTTTTTCCATAGCCATGTTTTACTCTTAAATTTTTTAAAATCCCAGTTTGCCATGATTATCATGGCAATGTCTGGCTCTACTCTATGAAGTGGTTGCTTAGGCCACATTGCAGTACTCACTTCTATTTCAGTGTTTGCTCTTCTTTTATGACCTCAGGTGCTTTACTTTTTCCTTTACTGACCATGGTTTGCTTTCTGTTGTTGACTGTAAGTAGTTTCTAGTGACTCTTCGTAGGCTTTTTCACATGTTAGCTTCAGCCCTGCCTTTTTCTCCAGTGCTAGTGATCTTACTTGCCTTGAGTTTTCTCATAGGATTCATTTGTTGTTGTTCTTTAGACATGTGTTTCTGAACTGAAACATGTTTCCTTTGCTGTTAGAGCAGAAATTATTTTATATGGGAACATAAGCCTGGGAATGCTACACATTCAATGAGAATTGTTGTGTGGTATCGCATCAGAGTCTGTTTAGGCTACTGCTTGTCTCTGACTTGCTAGTAGCTGATGCACAGAGGAAAAGTAAAGCAAACAGCAGCAGATAGAGGGTGATGTTTTCCTTTGATGCATCCTTGCTTCTGTAGCATAGACTGGTCCTGAACTAGGGATTGCATTAACAATACAAATAGTTGTATTTATTTTTCAGAATACAACCGCATTTTGGGTACAGTTTTGGGATAGAGGTAATAATAGATTGGGATAGAGGTAGTATTACCCTGCTGCTTAACTGTAAGCACAAAGCTATGGAAGAGGTAGGAGTTTCAAAGCTGATCTTGTGGCCATCTTCTTGCTGTCCCAAATCTATTAAAATCACACATGCATTCACACCACCAGTTTCCTAGCTCTTGAATTTACCTTCTTACTTAAAAGTGCTGTAAAGCTTCCAGAAAGTGGTTTTAATTGAGTAAGTATAAAACAACCTGCTTGTGTAAACATCTATTTCAGTTAATGCTTTATGTTGTCCTCTCACCCATTACCAGTTTCTATTCCTCATTGGGAAGTGCTTAATAATTAAAACAGCAACAACAAAAACTAGATCCAGCTAACCGAGAAATGGTGCCTCAGGAATATGTGACAGACGAGCTGGGGGTGTCTTTGCCTCCAGTAGATTTGGAGCACTTTTCAGGGTTATATTGCGCTTCAAACAATGACTTTATCTTCAGAGGATTTTAAAAACACTTTTGTAATTGCAATGTGCAAGATCTGTACAGAAGTGAAGAGCTTCACTGCTTACTTTTCAATTGTTGTTCTTTCAATGCTTACTGTCTCCAGTGCTTGCTTTTTTGATATTTTATATCCATGTATTTGGCTTGGATAAAACTGCAGAGGACAAACTCTGATTGGTTCTAAGTTTATTTTTGACCTAGTGAATAAATAAATAAATAAAAGCACATTCACTACTTTAGAAAGAAACAAAAAGTTACTGATACCTTTATGTACTCAAAGTATTGGACTGTTTCTTTGGTGCTCTTCATTTCTGTTTTTTACTTCTTTTTTTCTGGAACATGTAAGGAAGATCTGCTTCTTTGACCAAATAAAGAGCTGATGAAACCTTTTTCTTCTTCACTAACCTTGCACATTCCCATTCTTCTGTTTGTATTTCCTAATCTATGCTGAGATCAGGATGCTTTGACACGTTGCTTATCTCGGCAGGAGCAGGCTGTTTTAACAAGTCCTGATTTGCCTTTCCTCTAACCTGATATAGTAGGGCAAGGCTGCCCAAATGTACGTGAATTATATGTGCCAGAACATCCTGGGTTGTACGAATAAATAACAGTTTGACAAAGCTACCACTGTCTCTTAGTGCCTGTTAATAAATTGTCAGAACATAGACAAAAGGGAGAGTATTTGGTCATATTTATGTCTTCCAGTCTGATTTCTCAAGGGCAATCTGCACCTTGTGGTGAGGGATAATAATCATGGCAAATAAGGGATTTTTTTTCCATTAAAATGTTTATGGTGGCATTCCATACTGTGGGCTACTTACCATACAAAGTAGATTGTGCTGGGTTTAAAGAAGGTAATCATATAAGCCACTGGACTTTTTTTTTTTTTTTTTTTTTTTTTTTTTTTTACATGCTGTTGCTACAGCTAAAATCTTAATGCTAATAGAAGCAAAGTGAGAAAATTCCATTTTGTTCATAACCAGCTTGTTTCTTCTGACTCTGAATCTTCTGTACAACCCTGACCAGTAATATATTTCTGCTTATAATGTTTTAAATCAATTAATTTAAAGTTAATGTCGACCCTTTGGCCACTGCAAAACGTGATGATGCTGGCTGATTAGAGGGGCCATGAAAATATGTATAATTTGAATGAATTTCAACTGAATACGGGATCCATGAATTATATATAATGTAATTAAAGATTATATTAAGACAAATTAATACTGATTGCATGCAATGTAAACATGATATATCAACACCATTTGTTCTGAGGAGGCTAGAAAAATGCTTTATTTAAAGCATGGAGTAGAGCTCTGTGCTTTTTTTGCAGTTTATGTTTGATAGACCGTACAGCAGAACATTGGAGGCTGAAGCTGACAAAGTGGGACTTCAGTTTGCAGCAAAGGTAACTACAGCTGGTTTGTTTTATTAGCAACCAGACAGACACTTTTCACTTTCCATTGTAACCAGAGGGAGTTTCATGCTTCATGCAGAAGTAAATTGTGGTTGCTTTTTTCCTTTTTTAAGAACTGCAGATTAATGAAGTAGTGGGGAAAAAAAAAAAAAAAAAAAAACTGTTTATGAGGAAAACCAAAGTCCTTCTAGGTAAATTCTATGTAACAAATTGGAATTTGTAAAATTGTGTGTTATCAATGACACAGTATACTTTCTATATAATTTATTATTACTAGAATAAAAAGCTATGTCTTTACAAAGAGAAGGAAGCCAAATAGTGATCTCTCATATATACAATGTGTTAAATTGTATCTCGAGATATAAATTGTACTTTGAATTTCTATCTTTCACTTAGCTTCCACTATTGCAAGAATTTTTGAGGAACGTTTTACTATGTTTTCATGCATTTGAAATAATTTTATATATAGCGTTCATTTTCATAACAATACAGTAAAAATTAAGAACTCTGATTTTATGATTGTATTTTATGTGATTTCTCGTAATCATGAAGTATATCAGCACTTCTGGTATTTAAAATTTATTTTAAGTATAGTTGTGAAAGTAAGCTATCTTTGCTAAAATAAGACAAAAATTTGGTAAGAAACTACTCAAAGCTTTTTCCATAATTCATTTTAGAGTCACCTTTTTTTTTGTTCCTGTGAGTTTTCATTCTAAATTCATCAAAATTAAATAGCAATCAGTTCTAGCTAGGTGCAATAGAAATAAATAATTCTTAAGTGTTAGATATGTATGAGAGCAGCACCATCTAGCGTTAATATTTCATAAGGAGAATTTCCGTTTTCTTATTACCTATTAATATTTCTTCAATGCAGACTTTTTAAAATGAACTTCAGTTCTGGGACTGAAACTGCATTTATAGTTTAAAGTCATCTAGAGGACTAATGCAATCCATGGAAAAGCATAATTGCTGTGTGGGTAACTCACTGCTTTGTAATAGCAATGAAGTTGTAGGAGCATATCAGAGAGAAACAAGCAAAGTGCCTTCTCAGCATTTCTCTGCTTGTGCAGATATAATTTTGTAATAATACCTTCAAGAAATAAAATTCGAAGGACAAAGCACCACTAATACAGTTCTGGGGAGGGGAGTCTTCCCATATGAGCACTCATCTTTTTCTCTTAAAGAAATTAAAACCAATATAAGAAATCTTGTTCTTTTTTCCTTCTACTTAAAGTATAAAGAAGATTGTGGGTGATACACAAGTACCATTCTTAATGTTCCACAACTTTCTATACTTAAATTGGTACTTCTACAGAGAGATATAGGAGAGTCATAGTTCTCTGCAATAATTACTTTTACCTGTTGTGGATTACAAAAAAAAAATCCCCCTTTTAAAAGGCAGTGTAATCACATGCAGAGAAGCCTTTGCAGCTTGTTTTGAGATATGTTTAAGTGTGAATTATTATCACTGCTTACTTTTGACTCTTACCTTTAAATTTACTTAAATCTGTGGAGATGATTAACTTGTCCTTATGCTATATTGTGTCTAGCAAATACAACATGGAACAAGCAGCTGAGTGTTTTTTTTAAAAGAACAAGCACATGGCAGCAATTGTGAATCCTATTATTCCTTCTCCAGAATTACCTAATTCAGGTGCAGTCTTTAGTAAAGATCAGTGGAATTAGAATGTGTATCATATTACCTTAAAAGCAGTGGTGAATACATCTATTTTCTGCTTTCAGGCTTGTGTGGATGTAAGAGCAAGCAGTGTATTTTGGCAGCAAATGGAATTAGCAGAAGCCATTCAAGGACAGCCCAAGTTACCAGAGTGGCTCTCCACGCACCCTTCACATGAGAACAGAGCTGAGCACTTGGACCGCCTTATTCCAGAGGTGAGCAGTTGAAGGAATTAGAGCTTTTTCTCTGAGGAAGGTTGCCTGAATTAGTTTGGCATTAATCCATGAGCAGCTGTCGTTGCATCATGTTTACCTTTCCTTTTACCTATACAGAAATTTTCTGTCATAAGACTCTCAACTTTCCTGATAATTCTATTAAAAAGGAAACATTAGGCTAGCACAGCTAAAATGCAGTTAATTCCAGTGGCTTGTTTCCTGTTTTCCAATCAGATTGTAATACTTCTGCTTTTTAAAGGCATTTCAAGTATAAATGTGAATGAATGAGACCCGTGTCACTCTCTTTTCCCTTTTATGCTGTTCTGGAAGCCAGATTTTAAGTTGCATCCTTAAACTGTCTCTAAACTGTCTTCTCTTTCATTGCTTTAGTAACTAGCCCAAGACTGTCAACTAGAGAATGCTCCCTACTATCCCGTCTCTCCCACTGCTGTGGAATTGAACACACCTTGTATAACGATGCCTCAGAAGAATGTCAGATCCCCAGTAGATTTCTCAGTAGCCCTAGTTACGATAGCTCTCTGTAGATTTTGCAGCCTGCTTTTTTTCTTCAGATCTCTCTATTTGTTCCATCACATTAGGGAGAACATTTTACCCCACTCTAAGGAAATTGAGATAATTCATGTGATTGCCCATCTATCTGCAGTCTGTTCTGTTATTTCTTTTGGATTGCCCCTCAGAAGAATGCCATATAGATAGCTACCTGGGGATTCTCTTAATTGGGTGTATTATATACTGGTGGATTAAGCAAAAATTTCTGCTGTTAGCCAAGTGCTAGTTCCCTTATTTGAGAACTGTTCCAAGTTTAGTAGTCTTAGTTTACTGTTTCTTTAAGCAGATTTTTTTTCTTTACTACATTAAAGTAACATGATTTTTTTGCCTACTTGTTTATTAGATTTCTTTTTAAGTTGCTATTTATTAGAGCACTTCACAACAGCATAGTTTTGCAAGCAAGGTAAAGCAAATTTCTTTTCTTATAACAAATTGGCAATTTCTTCTTCCTGTTTTTTTTTCCCTTTTACATTCCCAGTCACTTACCATCTTTCTCAGTTCTAAGCTGCAAAGACAGTTGAAGATTTATTGGCAGAGAGAGTGCTAAAATGTTGAGGTGTTTACTGATTTTAAAGGAGGAAAAGAGGAGGATTTTCACGAATCCTTTGAGAATGAATGCAGTAAATATTCTAAGTGAGAGCATAAATCAAAACAGAGATAAGAGGTAGGAGGTTGGAGAATGGCTAGACTGAATATTTTAAATTAATACACACAAATTCTGTACTTTGCAAAAACAGGCTGTGAGAATATTCTGATGAGTAATATTTTCAGAGCAGCTGAATAGAAAATGATACGCATTTCTGGAGCCTTTGTTTTAGTTAGATTGAACAAAGTGTTCAGAATGCTTTATTTTTGATACAATTATTGACTGGCTTATGACATAGAAATAAATACCCTCTTGTTTTTTACTCCAGGACTGAGCAAATAAGTTAAATAAATTAGCAACTGTATAGTCGTAGCAGACATAGTATTATTTTTGTCTGATCTCTTGCAGTTTAGCAGGTGGAGTAACCTTTCATCTTTTTGTCACTGCTCTCACTTACAAGAGCTGTGGAGGCTAGGAAACTTTCTTCCAAAGTGTGATAGAGACTGAAATGTTTTCATTTGCCTTCTACCTTGCAAATTATTTGGAGTAGGTTTAGAAAGCAGGGGCTGAAGGCTTCTTTTTAACAAAGGTTGACAGATAAGTGAGGCTGATACTGGAAAAAATGGAAAAAAATTAAAGAAGTTATGTAGATGTGTTGTTGGAGGCTTCTTGTCTGAAGTGTTTACTCTCCTTTGACTGAGAGTTGCCTCCTTGAAACTGAATTTCAGGCGTTTGAAGGGAATCCCAGGGCTTTGCTGTTCAATGTCAGCAACTTTTTATGTCATCACTCACATACTTAAAGCATTTTAGAACTGTACGTTTACCATATATTAATGGCCATTAGATGTTCAGAGCCCAAGAGAAGCTAGATAGCTAAAAGAGCCTTTTTATCTCTCTATGAAGAAACTACTACTTAGATTCAGCATCAGATCCATCATAAGCAAGGAACAAAGGCTGGAATCCTAAAGAAAAAAAATCTGCTGGCTTTTGCATTTGTACTTGGTTTTGAAATTGCCCTTTCTCTAAATAGACCAGTTTGTAGTAAAGATACAGATATAAATGTTGTGTTTCATATACTGGTGTTTTTGAAGCTGTGATGTTTTTTAGGACAAGATAATACCTATTATTAGTCCAGCTAGCATAGCTAGGAAAAATATGTGAGAAGTTTTTGGTCTTCTCAGGATGTGAAGATGTTTCTCTACAGACTTCTGATCAAGCTCACAATAAACTCTGATGATACAAAATGAAAAATTTTTGTTCAGGTAATGAAATAGCTTGTCTCATTGAGACAACTTAACAGTCTCAGGAAATTTAAATTAAAGCAGCAATATCACAAGGATTCTCTTTTCACATAATTAAAAGACAGGGAGCAATCAAATGAGTTTTAAAGATCTTGCATCTGCATTTCTGAACAAGTTGCAAGCTACAGCTAAACTGAGGAATTAATAAACAGAGAACTATAAACAGTTGCAAAGTAGCACTCTCCTGGAAAGGAAATAGAGAAAATGAAAAAGATTTGTCATGTTTTTAAAGGATTTCCCCCTCTGCCTGGAACAATTTGGATTGTACACGAAGAGAACAGAATATGCCAGCCAAATGATAACCCTGTTAAATGGGAGACTGTAATCTCCTAGAATTCCTACATGGAAGGTGCTGAAATACTCAAAGGCCCTACACATTTTGTTTTTTTCAGAAAAAGAAATCTTAAAATGATTTTGTAGTACAGTAGCTTATTGTTGTTGTGGAGAGGAAAATCATGGAATTATACAGCCAGAGAGCAGCTGAAGGATCTGCTGGTTCATCTCTGAACCTCTTCTTTTAATGTTCTCTGACTCACTACAGCTTGTCTACCTTTTTCCTTGTAAGTTGTCCAAACTGAACACTGTACATCAGCTGAAGCCTCAGCAAGACTGAATAAAGCAGAAGGTTATCTACTCAGCCTTTGCCTGTGACACAAAAATTCATCTTGACATGACATTTGCTTTTTTGGCATCATGTTGTTCGCTCAGATCCCATTTTTGATTTACTCTAACACCTGTTTCCAACACTTCCTTGTGGAAATACCATACTGAAATCATTTCCAGAGTCAGTTACTAAGTTGGGACATGTCATTTCTATTGCATCTCTTTTGCCTGCTAGGCTAATTAACTGTCAAAAAAAAAAAAATTAAAAAAAGTAAATCAATGTATTTTGGCAAGATTTGTACATGTTGGCTGTTCATCGTTTTTTGTATTGCTTGGGTAGTTATTTACTTTATTCCTCTCTCAGGTGTCTATTGGGGTATTGAAGATGCATTTATTTTGCTTTCTTTTTTTTTTCTCCTGCTTTTCAAAAAGGGGATGGTATATTTGCCCTTTGCTAATGATGTGAAGATTACCTGAGATAGTTCTAGTACTAGAGCATATTAGTATAAGTCCTATCAGTGCAAGTATTTGTAGGAAAATAACAAAAAAATACTGACCTATGTTTCTATCTTCTCTATAAATTTAAATATTTTGTCACAATTTTCCTTTTCTGTGCCCGCAGAATCACTGGAAGATGTGAAGTGTTAGCATTATATATCAGTTGCTTTTTTTTCTCTATCAAGTAACAAATCCATCCACTCCTAATCATCTTTGTACTGCTACTTCATTTGCAGAACCTGTTGTTGCCTTCTATGCCTGCTAATTGTAATTCAGTTTGCAACTCAGCTTTCCTGATTTATTTATTTATTTTGCTGCATGCTTGTGCTATTCCGTAGTTTTTGTCAGAGTTGCAAGGCCAGACCAGAATTCAGCTCTGCCGAGGTAATTGCAGTTTATACAAAGAGAATTTTAACCCTTGGCCTTGTTTGTGGACTTAAGAGGGTGACTTTTATCCCGAGAGGTAGAATTCGCTCCAAAAGATTATAAGGGGTCGAGATGCAGTTAGCCTGCTTACCTGTGACAGTGGTGAAAGATGAGCACTGAGAGAGAAAAAATACTTTTTTTTTTCTCCTTCATTTGTCTTGCTGTTAGGTTTTATTTGAAAGCATCAGGGTGAGGCAGGCCTCCCTAGTTCTTACGCCTTCCTTCCTCTCAGTACGTTGCAGGAGATGACTGCAATTATATTGATAAGAAAAACAGCTTCACCTCTGCTACTTACAAGCAGTAATTTTGATATTTTATTTGATGTCTTCTGAGCCAGTAAGCATTTAGGTGGTCTGTATTCTGAAGAGCAATATTTCTTTCTTAAAGTTAATCTGAAAAGAATAGCATTACGGTGCTCTTAATTTCCAGGTGCCTCTGTGTACTCACTCCAGCTAGTTAACCTTGTCTCGGTTCTGTCCATTGTCTTTATTTAGAACATTCTTCAGTATACAGATGATGAAACGTTTTCTTATTGAAATTGATATGCATTTGCTTCATTAAGAATGCTTTTACTTGTCCTTTTACCCAAACTGACAGAAATCAATTTACTTGAGCAATATTAAATTATCAGATTTGAAATTGCTGGTGATTTTGAAAGTACAGTGTGGCTGATCATGGTTGGCTGTTTTATCTCTCAGGAAAATATACTGTAAGCTCTTCAGCCAGTTATTGACACATTAATGATGCTACAGCATTGGTAGCACAAAAGAGAAGTGCAGTAGTCAACAGAGCCAGGGAAAGAACACCTGAATAAGGTTGAATATTTCACAGCAGGCACAAACATACATGTATACATGCATGCAAAGCCTACCTCTATTAAGAATGTTTAGTCTTAGATGTATTTAACAGTGAGACCATATGTCAACACAGTTTTGCATTCTCGTAACTGCAGTCTCTTTAATGGCATGTGGGTTGATGGTGTTGAATAGATGCCTCCTTCTCTCTTTGACAGCTTTACGTGTAGCAAGAACACAAAAACACCCACAGGGTGAAAGTGTTAACTCTGAAGTATTGTTTTGGACCTTTGCTGTTGTGACTTCAGTATTTGAGATAAGTGAAACCATGGAAATAAGCCAGGCGCCATATAGGAAGCCTCCCCGTGAGATTTAAAATCGCTAAATTAGTTTAAAAGAGGATTATGTTGCCCTTTCCAGGATACAGCCTAAATCTTTATATTTCCGTTTGCCTTGAATAATGCTGCCTGACGCTAATGTAGTCTTGCAGCAGTTTATGTTCTGTAAGAGAACAAGAGAAAACTCTTGGTTTGTCAAAAACATCACTTTGGAATTTAATTGGTCACTGAGGCAGAAGAGTGTTCAGTGGTATGGTTATACTTGATGACTACATGGACTATCACCTTGTAGAAAAACAAATACTGAGAGCTTTATTCATGTTCTTTAAAAGTTTGACAAGAGGAATATTTGCATGCCTAATCCAGACTTGCATATGCAGTAACTTAAATGTTGCACTTAAACAAGAAACAGCTGGGGAAACTCTTCCTACATTCCTAGAATGCATTTTTTCTTTTTCCAAAACCAGTTGTTGCCTTTAAATTCTCTTTGTTTATAGCCATGTACATGAAACTCTTATTAGTTCACTCTACTAAAGTTCGGGAGAAATATTTTGGTACCTCCTCATACAAAGAAATTATTTAAGAAGCTCAGCTTTTCTATTTTACAATCTGCTGTAGTAAGCTTTTCCCAGTGTCTCCTATGAAAGAGTACCAAATTGTTTCAGAATGATGGGTAAATACTTATACGCAGGTGTACTGGAATATTTGATTTGGTATTTCAACCAAATCAAGTGCATATAAAGCAGACTAAAATTTCCCACTCTGTTTTACAGTGCATCTGTGGAACTGCTATAAAAACCTCTTACTTTCTTTCTCCTCTGTAATCCATGCAGAATGAATGAACAGACACACTTTCTCATAGCTGTCCCTAGAACTGGCAGGAGGCACCTGGCCACAACTCAGGACAGATGTGGTCATCACTTTTCTAGAATATATCGTTATAAAGAAAATGGAATGAACTCTACACGTGAACTTATTTTCCCATGAAAATATTAAAAATAAAGCTGGATGTTACTCTGTCACTAGATTGAGGCTAAGATACAGTGAACCTTGCATAAAAGTGACTATCACTGTGGCCATTGATGAGTGCTAAATATCAAGCTAATTTTTGACTTGTTATTTTATTTGAAAATCTTGAAAAAATAGCTCTCATCGGAAATGTAGAACCCTCTAAAATTATACATCAAATTTTCTGTGTAATAGATAGAAGCTTGCTTTACTTGGTAAGGCTGTATGAGTGTTCTAGGAAAATCCACGGATACTGGTAGGCCTGTGTAAAACCAGTTGGAAAGTACTGCGTCAAACTGGTTTGTGTGCTACCCATTGCCATCTTTAACATAAACTGCCTGTTTGAATGGACTAGTTAAAAGTACGTTTGGCCTCATTAAAATGAACACAAGTTAAGCATCCTTTAGAACAGCTGACTTTATCCTGTTTTATACCAATGCTCCACAATGCCTTTGAGAAGATTCATCCAGTGTCACTACCTCCAAGGCAGAATGATCCATTGGCCAGAACACAAAGCTGGAGGAAATGTGTCTGTACTAATGGATTTTGCTTCTCTATGAAATCCTTTGACTCCTTTGTGCCTCTGCTTTCTAATATGTAAAATGGAAGCTCTGACACTTCTGTTATTTTGTAAGCAGGATTAATTAAAGTTTGTCTCCTAGTGCCAATCTATTAATCCAGATAGATTCTTACATTCTAAAGACATCTGTTTTCTGAGAACACTTGGAAGCTGTGTATTCAAATGTTTCTTGAAGATGAGATCACTTGTGTAACTGGACCTTAACTATACCGATAAACCATCTGGATTTCTCTGCCAAACAGTTAAATGTCTGTTACATTACTGAAGATTTTTCCCTCCTTTTTTTCCCCAGCCAGATGCCTGTATATATAATTACTTCAATAATGAAACATAGCTGATGAAGTATGCAGTCATTTTAATTTACATATGAATGTAAATTAGAAGGTAAAAGTTACTGATGTGCACAAATAGCACATGAAATAGTTTGAGAACTTCATACTTATTTAAGAGGTACCTTTTAGATTATCCATTCTTTGGGAGACTGCCTGCAAGATAATGTTTTTCATTCTTCATTTTCTTTCCATTGTTTTACCATATTAAAAGATGTGTTTCTTCTCAGGAAATCTTGGTTTCTGTTGAAAAGTTTTTCAGTAACAAGCCTGATTCAATTTTATACTCATTAAGCTTTATATGCAAATGCAGACCTTACTGGAAAGCCAAATCACTGTCTGAAACCTTTTTTTATCTTGTTTAAATGAGCTTGATTTGTTTTCCTATGTATTCACAGGCTCTTAAAATAAGAGAGCGCTGCAATTGTCCATCTCTTTCTGGACCTGATCCTCGCCTTATTTTCAAACTTAACATGCAACATCTCCTGGAATCGTCTAAAGTTCAAGAAACTCAAAATTCTACAGAGCAAGCTCTCTCAAAATCAAAACTGGATTTTCCTCACACTCAAAAAGTGGAAGACATGCCAGTAACTTTTGCAGTCAAACCTACAAACCAATGACGATAATTATTCCATTTTATGAAACTCGTGGTCTCTGAGGGTCTGTCTTTTAGGGCACATTTGTCTTTGAACCATAAAGAAGATCTAGCCACCTATATTCTGTGTTTCTTTTATGTGATCTCTCACTCAAAGCAATAAGGAGTTGTGCCCACACAAGAAGATCATCATGTTGGAGCAGAAAGTTTCTTATTCATCAAGGGTTACTAAAATAAATGACTTCTCAGGGGAAAGATAATCTCGTACAATCCAGTCACACAGTGTAATTTTCAGCTTTATCAGGCTCACCTTGATCAGAGGACAGATGAGCCAGGAGCGTCCCTAAAGCAGAGGAAAAAGTACAATTTTCATCACTTAACTTGTCTGGTTTATCTTGCTGTAATTTGGGTTAGATCTGTTCAGCTTCATTTGAGAAATAATGATGAGAGCTTACCGCCTGTTCCACATATAGAATGTTTAAAAATATTAAGCTGAGATGCAGTAATAGCCCATGGGCTAGATACACCCCCACTTAATTAGGTGGATTTACTGCTGGGATTTTTCTCCTTTCTAAGGCATTTGAGGGTATGGATTAATTCAGCATTTTTCTTCAAAGCAACCTGAAAGGGTTGCACAAAGTTCAATTAAAAAAAAAATAAGTTAAATTATTTTCAAGGAAGGCTTTCTTCTAAAAAACATTTTATAAGAACCACAATTTTTAGCCCTAGAATGCTTTGCAAGGATAAGCGTGTTTTAAATTATGAGGGTGCCTTATCAGAGGCCAATATTACTTTAGAGATACTTGATCTGGATAGATCAGTCTGGATAGAAGTGATTGCTGATGTGGAAGTATATTAGGTAGTAGACAAATACAATTTCTTGACTGCACAGCTTTAACAGTTGTACCTTATCCAAGAGGGCGACTACTCTGCAGGAAACCACCATCTAATGCTGTGTGTGTAAGAAAAAAAAAAAAAGCACAAAACAAAACTCACAACCAAAAAACAACTACACAAGAAGAAGAAAACCCTGCAGCCTTTCCTGAAGCCACACCTTTCTTACTGTGGAGACCAATACGCACAAGATAGGTAAAGCTCTGCCTTCTGTGATGGAGTACCTCGTATAGCCAGCATGTTAATTTTTATTTGCAACTGTCTGAGTTATCGTTGTTTTGCACCTGATGAAACTACTGAATGTTATCTTACAGAAAGACATAGAAAGAGGCAGAAAGATTGAAAACAAAAAAGGGAAATCCCTTTCTTTTCTCTGTTCAGATGTATCTACTGTTCTGCTGTTGTTTCTCCTTTTGTATTGAAACAAAATTTTGTTTCACGTATGGTGGGGTTTTACGTGGAGGGGACATTCAAAACATTTTACAGTGTATTGTATTTTGAAACATTCTTTTTTATTCGTGGTGGAGGACAGATTATCATATTTATTCAATTTAATCAGAATGCAAGTTTTTCAAGAAAGAAAAAACAACCTATTCATCGCTGTCTGTGAACATAGTTGGATAAAAAGGTTGTGAAACAAGTAATTTCTTTACTGACTTCAGCCAATGAATTGGGGGTCCTTAGAGAAATGCCAGTAACTACCTAACTTACTTCTGTTCAGAGGTAAGTCGATGTGTCTGTAACGTTGAACACTGATGATTCTAGGCCTGATTATATAGGTCTAGATTGGCAGCATATTGCTTACAAGCTGTTTTTAAATCTTTGCCCAGTCCTACTAGCAAGAGGCAGAAGGTCCAGCCTGGCCATTATTCATCCATCCATTTTTATTCTTAGTGACAGGAGTTTTTGTACCAGACATTCAGTGATGTGTTAAAGCACTTGGACATTGTCACCTGAAGGTAAACAGCAAAATACACCACTTAGATTTCCCTGTGGACCTTATAGTTTATCCAGCAACACCACGACCCCAGTGCTGCTGCCTCTTTCTCGCTCCAGTGTCAAAGCTTGTTTCGTTACCCAGGGCTCCTGCATGACATGCGACTTGATGTTTGTGTCTGTTAAGACTAAGGAGAACAGAGAAGAGTTTTTATAGCATTCAGGATGAAGTGTGACAATACACAAGTTTCTTAATTCTACTGCCTGTTTTAAGTGGATTAAGTATTGCACTGGAATGTCGGAGATGCAATTGTAAAGCTCACCAAGGGAGATTTTTTTTCTTTAATTTGTATGTAAATAGTCTGTAGCCATGATGATGGTGATGAGAAAGGCAAGGTTTTGAGGGAGAAGTATTGGCTTATGTTATACCGACAAAGGGCTGTTGTGCTTTTTCCAACAATACTGATGTAATGAAAGGTATCTTCTGTCTAGCTGTACATACACAGGTGCACATGCAAACACACACACGTACACTCACAGCACAGAATTAGCCCTCTACATTAAAGCACTAGAGTTTTTACTGTTCAAAGTGGGATGCTGAAAATTTCATTTTTTACTTTACATATTGAATTATTCCTAACTTTTTTCTCAAGTGCTTTAGGAGGGGTTTCTTTCTTCTTCTCTTGATTGCCCAGTACAAGAATGCCTTGTGCTCATCTGCATCTCAGTAGGTACATTTTTCTTAAACTCTTGCTTAACTATACATTGCATCTGCATATATTGTTTAAGTATTTTCTTTTTTCTTGCTTGAACAGATAAAAATTAACAAGTACAGATGGTGCTTTCCACTGGTTTGAGAAGCCATGGTGAAAATCGCACTTTTAAAATTGGAGAGCATATAATGATTTTAAATTGTAATGAAAGTAATTTAAAAATATATACCTTAATAAAATAACAGTGATTGCAAGCACTGGATGATCTGTAGAAGCTTTGCATCGCAGTTGGGTGACTTAGTGTGCTACAGGAAAAATAGGTCTAGAAGTGTGTTGGAAGGAATTGAGTACTTGAAAGACACCTACCATACAAGAGGGAGATTAGTGACTAAAGTGACAAAAGGTAAGATGGATCAGTAAAAGTGCGTTTGCATTTCTACTGCCAGTACTGCAAGCTGTACTTCACTAGCTTGCCCTACAAAGTTTAAGTATATAGTACAAATTGTGCTAAAGATCTTAATGCATTTACTGTTGTAGGAGCATTGAGAGAGATGACAAGCAAGGGAATGTGCAGACAAGGCAGTCCTGGAATGGCTCCTTACAACTTTTGGGTTGTCATATTTGCCTTTTTAAGAAAAAATAAAATTATTTGAAATACACAAGTGCCAGGAAAGAAAAGTAAACATCTGTTAGATGCTCTTTGTTCTTGAATTCTGTTTGTAGTCGTTGAAAGACAACAACCTTGCAAGTTTTACACTTTTATCATATATCATGCAGGCTGCTACAGTTTATTTTCAGCGTGGTGGTGGTATCAGTACTTCTGATTGAGGAAGTATTTCCAGTGTAATAGTCTATTATTAGCTACTATGAAAGTGGGCTATAATTCTTCTTCCCGCCATCTTTTTCTTGTGCTGCCTGTGCCTCTGCTAGAAGCAGCATGGGCTGCTGCGATCAGAACCAGGATAAGCAGAGGGGACTCTTAGGACAAATAAAAGAGAAGGAGCTGAATGCTCTGCCCGCAAACTGCCCCACCTTTATTGCTGGGGGTGGCAATTCTTGGCCAAGAAAAGAGAACTGATGGAGTGTGTGTGGTGTCCCTCATTGCTGCCTCCTTGTTTTGCACCCACCAACTACATTACTTGATCTCACGGAGCCCAAGGCCCCATGCCACATGCAGGCCAAGCATAATGGTTCTGGCTACCTCATCCTGGCTGTGCGAGTAGAGGCTGCTCTTCTTGGTGCAGGTTCTTACCCTGATTTATGAATGGATGCAGAGAATTGTTATCTCCAGCACATAAATTCATTATAACTATTAAACTAGGCTGAAATTGAACCTGTTGACCTGGAAGTGAATGGCTCCATAACATTTCATTAATCCTTTGAGATGTTTAATTCCTGCTAATTTGATATTTCAGATATGATCTTCTCTACAGATATAATGGCTTAATTAGTATACATTACATGATGTCTCTTCACAGTACAGCGTGTACAGTATTTATTCACTAGAAAAGTAATTCAGTAGAGCTCAATTATAATACATTGAGTAGAGCGTAACTGTTGAACAGGATATGTGCAATATTCATTATATTTTAAGCATAAACATTTTTCAAGCACTCTTCTATTATTTGTTGATACCTATCACCTTCTGAAAATGATGTTTCTAAATGTTTTGTTACAGCTTACTAATATATTTCAATTTAAAATGTGATTCTGAAAGTACTGGGTTAATTAGCAAATCAACATTTGGTGAAACAGTTGATAGAAACCTTAAATATACCTCGTCACCTCTATAATGTCCTTAGTGCAGTCTTTCTTTGCATTGGAGACCAGCAAAATATATGTGAAAATACACATTTGGAAAAAAAAAAAAAAGTTGTTTTTTTATGGTTGTCTTCTGTATTTTCATTTGCTAAAAACACTACTGGCTGACAGCACCCCAAACCCACACTAAACACGTTTATGTTGTGGAATTCAGCTTGCAGATCTTCAGCTGAAGACATCTGTTCCAGAGCACACAACTCACACAGTTTGGAATAGCAATTCCAGTTGGAACTGTAGGGAACAGATAAAGAGGTAATAATGATTTGGAATCTGCAGCATTTTGTTGCTGCTTTCCTGTGGAAAGTTAGAGGAGGCACAGATACTACGAACCTCTGATATAACTAATGGAAGTAAAAAAAAAAAAAATTGGCTCATGACATGTGCTTTATGATGAGACTTGCGTACTTTTTCCTTCAGCTTTTAATGG